TCATATCAGTAGCCAAATATACATCAAGGCCCTGAGGGCATTCCTCATTAATAGCAAAATTAGCAGACAGAGAGTGGCCTAATTTAGACAAAAAGTCTACACACATATTGGATTCCCTGAAGATGTGCTGGATGTCAACATAGGGGATCCTACTGAGCAGCTCCCTACAGTCCAAAATAAGAGCAGTAAGAGAGTGATGATTGCAGCAATTTTTGGAAAGGAGATTAAAGGTAGTAAGTGAATCAGTTTCAATGCATAATCGACTAAATCCTTTGTTAACGGCTAATTGAAAGCCTTCACGAAGGGCCCAAAGCTCAGCAGCCAAACAAGAAGTGTGACTGATGTTTCTTGCATAGCCAAGCATCCACTTTCCCTCATGATCCCTAAATAAGCCTTCAGAAGCAGCCATACCAGAACTGTTGATGAAGGAGCCATCAGTATTGAGTTTAATGAATCCTGAAGGGGGCTTAGTCCATTTAACAGGAATGGACATTGCCTGACAAGTATACGGAGATGGGGAGCAGCAAGCCCAAAATTCTGCTGCTTTGTTCTTGATAATGGAAATACTGCTTGAAGGATTAAATATATCATGTCTGTACAACTTGCAATTCCTTTGAATCCAAATTGTCCAAATTGTAAAAGAGAAGAGGGTACCCCATGGTATGGATAAGAAAGCCCAGGTTTATTTGTTGCTTTGCACATTTTGTTCGCCATCTTCCCAAAGCCAAAATCAATTGAATTTAGCCTTTGGAAGTAAATTCAAAGTTATCTAGCTACAAAAATTCCCACTTCCTCCTCGATGTGCCAATGCCACTTCCTAAATCCTTGATTATCCTCTTTGAATTTATTTATTCCCTGAAAAACTATGGTAGCCAATAACTAATATTCTTTTGCAAATAATCCTTTATCCAACTATTAATATGCATTTTCTTATCTAAAGAACAAAACAAATGGTCCTACATGAAAACTTCTATTTAGTATTAATAATAATTAGCAGAGTCTAATCAAGTAAAGGCAAGATTAAAGAATCAATACATAAATAATGAAAAAAAAAAAGAGTAAAGAGAAGAATAAGGTAAAATCGACCTGTCATTCTCTGGCCAGACTTGATTTATAGTCAATATGTGTACAGCATAAAGTTGATAGGTACTATAAAGGAAGAAGGTAAAAGTTGAGCCCCTCGTGTTCAACAAAGCTATACATTCCAATACTACCTTGGCATTGAATCTCAATTCCAATGCACTTATTTCTTTCCAGTTCGGTCTCATCAGAATTTGGAGCTGTTGGTCCACAATCACATGTTGCAACAGAGAGCAATCAATTCTTGACTTTGCATAATTGCACTGCAGCAAGCTTTTTCCAAGGGTGACTCTTCAAAGTTGTTGGCCTGCACTAATGGTTCTAGTGGGAACAAAAGGATCGAAAGATAAATGAGGTGTAATTTTTTTTAAAGGGGGCAATTACTACATATTGGTAGTGCCCGAACAATAGGGAAAGGGATGTCACCGAGTTGGAACATGTAACCTGTACGAGATGATCCCACTAACTAGTAACTAGTCATCGTAGCAAGTAAGTCAGAACGTGGGGATATAAGTGAGGCGTCCTCGAAAAAACCAAAGAGAGGGTAAATAGAGTAACAGAAGGATTAAGTAAAACTAATCTGGAATTTTATGTGCGGCTCAGATTATATGTAGAGCATTTCAACAACCAGCTGATGAGCACCAAAATAAGATAATAGGCGGAAGCTACTGTACCATTCGATCAAGTATTGATAATTAGCAAAATCCAATCAAATAATCACAAGATTAAAGAATCAACAGATAATGAGTAGAGACTAGAGATAAATAACTCCTTTAAGGGTAAAGTAAAATCAGAGCCATATCTGTAGGAACAGCTGATGGGAACCAAAGAGGAAAAGAAAAAATCAATGCTACTCATGATCAACAAAATAATGCATCCGGAGGTCCCACTTTTTTGGAGGTGTTTGTTCACAGCCACATGGGAGAACAGAATAAAATCAATTCATGACCTTGCATGGGATAACGTTTTCCTGGAAGTAATTGCTCAAAGCTAGAGGCCCGTATGGATGGTTTATAGTGGGAACACTAGAATTGACAGACTAACCTCTAAAAAATACGTACGATCTCAACAACTCATGATTCAGAGTGCCGTCAAGAGGGATGGGAGTAGTTGGTTGACATGGTAAAAATATTAATTGATAGACTAATGAGTAATGACAGTAGACTGAAGATGACAGACTAATGAGTAATGACAGTAGACTAGAGAAGCAAATTCTGAAACTATAAATAACAAACACCATTCACATCATTCTTTCAAGAATATATAATTAACGTGAATTTATTCCCCCTATTCCTCATTATCATTCTCCTAATAATTAATTTATTGGGATTTATGGTGCCTGTAATTAGGGTCCATTTGGTATAGCGGTTTTGGGGTAGCGATTAGTAGTTTTACCTAAATCACTAAATATAGGTGTTTGGTAAACTTATATATTTCGAAATTGCTACAAATTAAGTGTTTGGTAAAATTTTTATTTAGCGGTTTGAGACTAACGGATAGCTGTTAGGATCCAAATCGCTAGTGGATTGAAAAATCTAGTTTATGTAGCTCTTTGTATCAAACCGCTAGTGGATTAGAATTTTTTAATTTTATTGACAAATTTATCCATTTTAATTTTTTAATTTTTGGTCACATTTTTTAATTAATA